AATCATGTGGTTATCAGGCTATTAGGCTCCCAACAGGAGATGGACAGACAATTTCATTGTTCTTAGCCTTGAACGAAAAGAAGAAGAAGAAAAAAAAAAGAAAATATTCTCCTGAAATGATACATTTCCATTTGATCCTAAAACTGCAGCTTTCTACACTAAGTGGTCCTTCCTACTGCTGTTAATTGTCTATTATTTTTTATGTCCTCTTTAAGCTACTGCGAGGTGTCAGCGCTTTTATCTCAGTGAAACATTTCCAAGCCTGCTTGGATTCTTTCATACAAAAAGGCACACATGTAAAGAATAAAGGTTAGTTAAAATTCTTCTTATCGGGTTTTCTGTGTGACACCATTGAGTCATTTGTGTTTGAAAATGTGTGTGGATGCTTCTCAGTGGAACACTCTTTACACAAAGCAGAGCAGACTCCATCACTCATAATAGAGGTCGCAACCTTAAAACCAGTACGTTGAAGATAAAAATTCTCTTCATCAATGGCTCAAGAGACAGTGCAGTCTTGGGGTCTGGCCAAGGCCAGAGAATGAACTCCTACAGGATCTACAGGCCACCCTCACTCCACATTCAAAGCACATTTCTTTGCCCATGACACTTCTGACCTAAGCAAAGCAGCAAGTGCATAAGAATAGCAGAGGAACACCCAAGGCAGTACACTGCACCGCACAGTCTGTGACTTCTGCCCACACCTTCACCTCCTCTTTTCCTTTTCAAGCAAAACCTTCCTTTCTCAAAGACCCAAGGCTGCTGTGATGGATGCAGTGCCCAAGGACAGGAGCTCACACTCTTTCTGCCTCTCCTACCTCGGTCCAGGGCCAAGCTTTAAAAACAAAACCAAACGATACAATATTTTTGCTCAGTTCATCAGCTCCAATAACACAGATTTACTTTAAATAAATACATGCCCATATCTTAACTGACAGCCAATTTCACATCTTTTTTTTCTTTTTTTTTTTTTCTCCTGAGATTTCAAGTTCAAAGGGCATTCCCAAGTGCAAAAAAAAGAAGTGAATTATTTCAAAAGAGCGGGCTCTATTTGCATACCTATAAATACATGAAATAACTGCTTTCCCTGATTTAAAGATACATATGTACAAAGATACATAGCACACGCTATGGTTATAATTTTTTAAAGTCATTTAAATTATTTGAATTCTTTGAACACCTTTTAAAATGGCAGAGAAATGGAATATCATTGCAGAATATTAATTTTTTATTCAAGTTTGAAGATAGATAATGTCAAATGCCGAACAGCTGAGTTGGTCTGCATCAATTAAAAAAGATATAAATTGTCCATGCAGCAGAACAAATAGTTCTGACAGAAACTTAAAGAAACCTCTGAAGCTTCCAGCTTCCCTATTTCTGCCTTCTGAGCGTCCCTCACGCAAGTTTAATTTATGCAGTGATGGATATTCTGAGAGATGGAAGCTGCATTATTGACACGGAGATAAAATAACCCCTGAGTGAGAAGAACAGGTTTGGTCACTTTATGCTCAGCCTGCAGGTGAAATCAATTTCAGTAACTTCGCCAGTTAGCTTAAATACAACCTTTCTGATTAAAGGACTACTTTGACATGGAATTAGATTCCCCCTCAGCTAATAATCCAATAAAATATAATGACAGTTTTCCTGAGTGAGGAGAACGACGTCTCTTATACTCCCTTCCAAAGGAGAGCGGCCACTTCTCAGCCTCAACTTTTGAGTCTGTCCGCCTCGTTCCTGTGAGCCAAAGGTCAGGTCACACCAAGGTGCCGTCCTTCAGCTTTCCAGCAAAGTAGAAACCCAGCACCATGAAACATTTTGCTTTGTGGGGCCTTTCAAATGAGAACACCAGCAGTCTGAAATAACCCAATCCTAAAACAAGCAGGATCACAGGCAAAGTTCCTGCTATACCATGCCTCTGGATATCACTGCAAAGTTATGGGGCACAGCAGCTTGCAATAATTCAACATGTCACCCTACTGCACAGGGTAAGATGCCAGTCCTTCACACATACAGCTGTTCTGCATGGACAGCTGGGAGCTCCTGATTCTTTTCTAAGCCTGCCAGCCCTGACTTCCTCTGCTCCTTGCAAAACGCACTCTGCACTCTGCACAGAAATCCATTAAGGTTTTTTCCTATGAACCTTTTCCCAGCTGCAGGCATCATCCAGGAGTGTGCTTGAAGTAGAAGCTGTATCTTTTTGAAGCAACAAACTTCTGATCCAACTAAGTCTCCCACAATGAGATTCATGGAGTTCCGCCCCCAGCACAGAATAAGCACCGAGGACAACCCATCTCCTTGCTGAATGAGCTCCCAAAAAGCTCCTTTGAGATGACAGCAATGGGGGCAAAGCAAGGCTCTGCACGGAGCAGAATAGGTGCATGCAATATACTTGTGTATATTTAAAATAAATCTTTTTATACCCTTTGTTCAACTACATTATCAAAAGAGGTTTTAAATACAAGCCTCTGGGACAACTAAAGAGGTGAATTTATGAATGTATTCCTAACAAAACACACTCTGCAAAGCTTTAATCTGTGAATTGTGACAAGCTTGGACAAAATGGATTTTTAATAGAATATAATGTAAACTGCCTGAAACATTGTGATAAGGATTATTTTTTTTAAAAGTAATGCACAGAAAAGGCACGATGCACTCCACATGAAAGGAGGAAAGGTCTTAATTTAAACCATTTTAATGAACACTCAATTTGCGTAGGGAAATGTGAGAAACGGAGATGAAAACCTCATGATAACGATAACATTGCAGAGGGGAGAAGGAGAAGATTAGGAAAGTAAGCAAGTTCGAAAAGGCTCCCACCGATAACAGCGGCTGAAGGGAATGGAGAAGGGATTGCCACCACATTGCAGCCCAACAGGGCAGTTCTCCTTGCAGCAGGGAATGCTGCAGGCTCTTACTGGGGTCATGCACTGGGGAGGAGGGAGCAGCCCAAGTGCAAGCAGTGGACAGACAGACATCAGCAGTGCAGCAGAGACACGGCAGGATGGTTCTCGTTTTCACCAAACCTCTGCTCACATATAAACTGCCCTTAAAAAGCTCCCTGAGTTTCTCACAGGCAGTTTTGCCACACTGACCTCAGCAGCAGCAAGTTCAAGCCTCTGCTTGTTTACACAAAGCATCAGAATCCCTACGAAACACTTAACATTCTCCAAAAGAAACGAGAGGGCCACCGCTATGACCAAAAAGGCAAATTAAAGTAAAGATCAAAGCTAAATATTTACTCTAAGCACTACAGTATTTGCAAATCTGGAAGCGATCTTTCAGCAGTTTCCATTTGCATACTTTAATTAATCCAAAAATATTAAAACTAATCTCACAAAGGAAAGGGTCAAAGTATTAATTAACTCGAGATTCCTTGCTTTTGTGCAATTTAACAGTTCAATACAAAGCAAAAATCAGTTTTAATAAAAAGTAAGTTACTGTGACAGGTATAATTCCATGGATTAGTGAAACCACGTACAAGGCAGTAAGTTTCAGAACCTTGCCTGTTCTTTTTTAACCTTAAAAAAAAAAAACTGTTGCATTAGGTAGAAAGTCTCCTCTGTCCCACCAAACCATCTTCAGTCTTCCTCTTGCCTCAGCATTTCACACCGGGGCCAGCGCTGCACCCCCAACCCCAAAGCCACCATACCATGAGCTTCCCACCACCAGTGGGTCCAAGGCATTGGAAGAGTAAGGAAATGTAGTTGAAAGACAAAGGATTTGGTGACAAAGCTTATTCTAGCCGCCAGAGCCCTGCTTCACCACTGCAGGAGCTCATGGAACACCAGCAAAAAAAATAAAGAATGAGAGGCAGCCACAATTTGCAACATCACAAATTCAGACTTGCAACTGCGATAAATGGAAACAAGAGGGAAATCTTTATTGCTGATGTTGTTTGTTTTTCAGTGGGCAGGAAAGGCATGAAGCAGGTAACAAACTAAAGTGTTTCTGTGACTTTTAATGCCAGAAAACTCTGCATCACTTAAGAGACTAAACGCATAGGAACCGCCTCCCCTCGCTTTGTGCGTTTGCAAAGCAAATGCCCACATCCCACTCAGTCACCTCCACTCTCCATCCTTACTGAAGAGAAATAGGAGCTTTCAGTTTGCCATGCACAAGGCCTGTTTTACACATTCACCAGTTTTCCTTTCTGTCACTGAAAAGTGAACCCAAGGTAAATAGCTCTCACCTCAGCACTCATACTGCAGGTACCCAGAACTCCTTTGCTCCCCAAATACAGCTCCAGAAGTTCAACAGAGCAGAACTACACTTTGCATGCCAAACCTTTGGCAGTAATCCTCCTAGCTCTAAACAAAGAGCTTTCAGGAAGAATGGGTGCAGAAGGCTCCTCAAATCAGAGTTTTGACAAAAAGTTTTGTGCTTTTCTAATTATGATGCAATTTAATGCTAAATGTATGCACAGTGTACTCTAAATGTACAGTAACTGCACGATAATGAAGAGAAATTGCTTATATTGTCAAATACATAATTCTGACTAACAATATAAATTTCTCATTATGTTTGATATAGCTGGCGGGAGCATTACCATAACAAATGCACCCAGCATTCACTAGGCAGTTCACAGATACTCATAGGTGTTCTGCACCATTAATAAAGAACACTTAATAGCTATTACTTCTGCAGCTTTTCAAATAAAAGAGACAGCATTGTCCTATTTCGATTATTTCTCAATTATTCTCCATATTTTTCTATTCTAATCCATTTATTTATCCATTGGCTCTTTGGCAACGGGACTTCTGCTGCCCTTAAGGTGCAAGAAAAGAAAATGTGAGCCAGGACGAGTTGGCTGCCTCTAGTTACACTCAGCCATCTATTTCTCAAGCTCAGAAGCGAAACGAAAGGAACAAAGCTCTAATCACAGCACTTAGAGTTCTTCCAACACAGACAAGAAGGAGCAAATGCTACTGTTAAAAGAGCAATAGTACTCATCAGAAAAGTTTCCATCAGCATTTCAGCAAGAGTTAATGCACAGAGGAGCCTACCTGCTTTCAGGGTCCGGGTCATTGTGCATACAGGTGATCGTGGCAGTGGTCCTGGCGCTGTCAGTCTCCTCTTGAACTCCCCACTGGTCCGCATCGCTGACTCTGACGTCCAAGATCTTCACGCCTGGGGCAGTCTTAATTCTGTTGGAGAACCACAGAGATCTCCTTAGTTACAGACCCCATACAAATAAATCCACAGAGGTAAACAGAGGAGATGAAAGAGGAAATATTCCCTCTTGCATTAGTAATAGACTGATACATTGCAACTGCAAGTCAGCCTGCTTCAAAAATAAAACAGGCCCAATTATTTTAAACAGATGAAGTATGAGTTTCATTATACGCAAAGGTGGTTAATTTTCAGCTGGAACAGTGTAGAAAGAAGAATAAGAATGCTTTCTGCTTCAGTGGCACCAGTTTGATACAAATGAAACAGATGTGACTAAGCATAAGTTGATTTAATTTGTTGCGTCTGTCCTGCAGTCTGAGATGGAGGTTCAGAGCACTGTGATATAAAGTAGATCCTCCTGCCTGCAAACCTTTGGGAGTGAGGTGGCTCTTAATATTAGGGGGAATTTGCATGGCAAAAATGTGCTTTGCTGCTCAAAGACCACAGCACGGGAAGAGAAGAGAAGGAATGTGTTAGGATAAACCCTGGACACAGGCTGGAAATAATGATGCCATTGCACTGGGATCTACCACATGGAGTATGCAAAACTTGCTGATGGAAATAGTGTGTTGACATGAAAAACCTTAACTTCCCAAGCACAGGTAGCACTAAAAGCATGCAGTACTTGGTAAACATCACAATTTTTTGCCATTTGCTTGAACAAAAAAAAAAAGTCCACGCTCCAGCGGGGCTCTGCATTAGGAACAGATTGCTAAGGAATAGGAAACAAACTGCTTTTAATAGCAGGAACTTCATTTGTGCAGCTTGACTCCAGAAACAAGCCTGGGATTTCGACAGGAGTGCTGCAAATATGCCTGGAGAACAATTAGGCTGAAAGCAACTGCTATCGTGCCGCGTTCGCCACTACTGTGACTTAATTAATTAAAAGCAAGGCCAAGAGGGACCTCTTAGTTGTATGGTGGAATTAAATGGCAACTGCTGTGACATGAAGCGTTACTTAACAGTGAGTTGTGATGGATTGGCCCCAAAGCCTCGTGGCCAGTCGGCCCTCACTCCACTCGATTAAGAATCTCCTTTAAGTTGCAGCTGAGTTCGTGGTCCGGGATCAAACTCACTTCAGCACTCAGTGGGTGGTCTTTTCCTCTGAGAAGGAATTAATTTGTCCTGCTTTTATGATGCCCGTGTTTCTCCCTGCGAGGCTTTCCTGACGTGATGGACCAAACCCATGCCTGGCGTAACCAAGCTGATGAAAAATGGTTCCTGGAGGGAGAGAATTTCATTTGATATTTTTCTAATTGTTTCCTTCGTGTTTCTCCGCAGACATTCATATCTCCAGACAACACGCCTCAAAGCTTATGTGCCCTTTCCATATCGTTTCCTCTTCTTTTTTTCCATAGGAACATTCATTTATTTTGTAGTAATTACACTGGACCAAATCATTCCTGCGAAACACCTACATAGCTTCATTTCAGACGGGCTTGTAGTTTACATGAGAGAAAGAACCAAGCCTTCAGCAATGGAGCCCATCTTTTTTTCTTTAGACTTAGTCAACTGCACTTCAGGGGGATCAAAAAAAAAAAAAAAAAAGGATGTTATTTTAATTTTCTCTTTCCCAGACAAAATTATATACTTTCAACAAATTTACCTTCCCACTGTCCCCTCACTTTACTAACTTTTTCTTGACAACAAGCTTGGAAAACTCTAACCCAGCTTTCCACCCAAGTCAAGGCCCTGGTGAATAAAAGTTTCATTGAAGGGCAGGAGATGCATGGGGCCAGGACAGCTGGATTACACCACGATTTCAGGATTCATCAGCCTCTTCCCATCTGTCAGAAGCCTGTTACGCCCTCCCACACAGCTCTTGCACTATGGATACCCTCACTCCACAGCACGCTCTGTCTTCTGCTCCACTCTGAGCCTGGTGGGTCTCAACACCCCAGCAGGACATGGTTCAGGAGCAGGCTACAGCCAGGTGGGACCTTTGCACAGCTCCATCCTCCCTCTCCTGGGTCTGAATGCAGCCCATCTGAGCAGCAGCTGAGGTTCTCCCACTGTCCTGCTCACCACTGGGCTCGTCCTTCAGGGCACTGTTCCATAAGAGGAGCTCATTGACTGCGCTTGCAGCCTTCATTCACTGCCTATCCATCTACTGTCTTGCTGGTTTAGCATCAAGTGAACATCACATCCACTGCTTCCCTGCTCTGTTTTCCAAAAACATCTCCAAATGCTGCATTTTAGGAAAATTTCCAGTCTAATCCTTTGCAGTGCGTCTGCTCTAGTGGGCTGAGACAAGATGTCATTTTGCATTTTTGGATATCAGTACAGCCAGAAAGGTTGAAAGAAGATAAAAAAAAAAAAAAAGTGAATTCAGATTCTCGCTTAGGAAAAAGTCAAGAAATTCAAATCGAGCAGCCTACGTATGGAAGGTCGGAGCTACTACTCTTCTGATAAGTGATTCATGTCTTTTAGTCAGCCCCCAAATCCTCTGGCACAAAACTGCTGTGAGAGTTGCTGACTCAGAGCATGGAAAAGAATGGGAAAACCCACTGGGAGTTGACAGGAATTGGAGCAGAGATGGTGAATGGCCAATGCGAGAGGCCAAGGCGTTGGGTGTACTGCCTGCTATGTGCCAGGCTTCAGTGACAAGCTTGGGTGGATTGCTTCTTTTCCTTACACCTCCTTTCCCCATACAAACTGCAGGGAAGTGCTGTTCTTCCATCTCCTAGGGAGCTGCAACAATGCACAGAATGGATTGGAAAAAAAAGAAGTCTGACGTCCTTTAAATTTACCACCTGTATTCACAGTCTGTACCACAAAGGAGGTGACCATTTATTCATGATGCTCTCTTCTTTAGGGCTGGAGGGAGCCCAGGAGAAATGTGACATTCTCAAGCACAGCCTTTCATGACACTTATGACTGTGAGATCTTCAGAAGAGAGAGCTGGTGGGGATGGAAGGGGTAGTGTCAAAGCTATTCAGAAAGGGAATCGATGACAATTACTTCACGAGTGAATCTTGCCCTCCTCTCCACCTATAAATGCAGAATGGAGGAAGCTGCTTTCGAGTTAGATTGCAGAATACATTTGCTATCCCCAGCAGAGCTTTTTCCCACAAGCAGTGTGCCCTCCATCTACTGGGTAATATAAAGCTGGAAACATGATGGACTGAATGGAGTGGGTAAGAGAAGTGTCCCCAGCCTGCCAAGTTGGAACAGCTATTTTAAAATGCAATCCCAGCCTTAAATGTATGCGACCCCATGAATTCAGCGGCTCTCTCATTTAGTACAAGAGGAGGAGAGGGGAAAGTACAAGCAATCACCAGGGCTGGGATGTAACTGAAAGGCTGCAAGAGGGATTTAGGCAGATGAGCACCAGTGAAACAGTGCTGGGACTGCCACTGCCTCCTGGTCAATTAGCTGCAGCATCTGAAAGGTAAACGTGGGCAACACACCCAGCACCCCTCCTAGCAGCAGTAATTGGAAGTAAAATCTCGGTTAAAAGAACTTTAAAATAGAAACAGAAGAGAAAGATGTTTAGGAAATAAAGCAGGAATGTGCTCACAGCAGATGGAATGTGCTCAAAATGATAGGAAAAAGACTTTTCCAGAGCTATTTTAGAAATCCGCTCATCTCTCCCCAGCCCATTACAGGGGAAAACATAATCCGAGTTCAATCCTCTCTCAATAACGTACTAATAATAATGGTTCTGATCATACATTTCCTTTGCAGTTTCCAAGCACTTCTGCATTCAGTCCTTCAACGCTCCTTTTTAGCCCAATTAAAAATAAAATCATCGTCCTTCCCGTACAGGCAATCTAAGCTGTAGGCCAGCTTGGCTAACCCACCCAAAATCATACAGCTTCTGCAGAGCCAGAAAGGCTCCCATCCACCCCAACTCCATGCTCACACATCAGCTAGAAACCCCAACCCATCTTTAACTCCACACACCATGGAGCTGAGTAATTCCAAGCCCTCACAGAGCATTTTACAGATTTGAAGAATCGCACAAACAGCGAGCAATTAGTTCTGAATGAGGTCCCTGGGGAGTTTCTAGTTCAAATACATGTGTTTTAAGATACATTAAGCCAAGCATTATAAATTAAAATAATCACTGAACTCAGACGTAACAGCTGAGAACTTTCAGGAGTGTGGGAGAAACAGGCAACTGCTCCCGTATGGCAGGGACACAAGCAGCCCTACAAAGGGGTAGAGCATATTTTCTGAAGTATTTATCCAAGAATGTTATTTCTTTGTTCTCTTACGTTTTAAAAGACTTGTCACAGCTTTATGTTCAAGCTATTTAACTATCAAATTCTTCTTAAAATAGCAATGCTAGGCCAGCTGTGTTTGTATTAATGTCACAGTGAGTAAAGCTATCAAAGTATTTAAAATGCACATCAAAATACACAAAGATCCTGGAACGAACCAAGCCTTCTTCTAGAGGCCACAAGTATAGGAGCACAAACAATGTGCCTTTTTGTCACATAAGTGAAACAGGCAGCCTGCAAAGCCCAGAGGAGAAGTGTGGGCAGATGTGAAACAGAGGGCATTGCAGTGCACCAAGCAAAAGGAAAACCCCAAAGTGTTAGAATGATGACATCAGGCGGTTGAAAACTTAGCGTGACCCTGGTACAAACCCAGTGACAATATGTACTACCAGTAAAATGAAGTGGGAACTGATGGTGGGACAAAAACCCACCATATCTGGCTTTATCCCTAAAGAGAACTCAACAGAGACGGAAACGACGACATCCTGGGTCAGCTGGAGTGTTACTCAAGATGTTGCCTCTTCATTTCAACCCAGCTGAAACCTACTCCACAGGCCACTCCTTCATTGCCAACCCAATGCATAACTGCTCCAAATTATAACTTATTAAAACAAGACATAGATTCACTGTGCTCTGCCTGTTCTGAGACGCCATCATGGGGCCAAGGTTCCTCGTCACCAACCCACAGAAATGCCTCTCACCTTCACACCACATCAGGAAGTTTGCCTTTTCCTCTCTCCAGGATAACT